AGTGCTTTTGCATATTTTGATTCCTCTAAGGGAAAATATAAATGCAGTAAAAATTCATGTGATTTACCACATGACCTCTGTTTCATGCCATGTCATGCTAATGTGAATTAATGTGGCGGTCTGGTTGCCAGTGTCCAGTTGCGTTTTATGCTGTGACACAACTGTTCTCTGATGAGCTGGTTGGGTCAATTATTGTGACGTCATTATGATGTTCGATACATTTTTTTGTATCGATTCATATTTGCAGCACTCATAAACAGTCACGTTCACTTGCATGGACCATCTATACTTGCCCAATACAATGTTTAACCCGCATGTGGTAGTGGTTAATAAAGCCAAACATTTTATCCAAAAGCATCCGAAGAAAGTCAAATTTTTAATTTTGGTGTTCTCTTGAGGACCCTACTGTGCATGTGCAAGTGTTTGATTTAAAGGACTGTTATCTGTTCATTTTTATTAATAAAATAAGTTTGGTACTGTGCTGGTTCACCACTGCATATATAATCAGATCTTGAAGCAAAACCAGTAAAGGCAGAAGTTTGAATTGTAAGATTCAATGAATCAAACTGAATCTGCTAAAATAACTGCTGAAATTTAAAAGGCTGTGATTCGCCCTTCAGGATCGTGATGTGTGCACTCATACAGTGGTCTTCCAGGTGGCCAACAGCATTTAACTTGATATTTGCCACTACTGTTGTCAAAAATGAATGAACTTAACAAAATGGCACACATACGTTCTGAAGGTGACGATACACGGGGGACTTTTTGAGCAATGTTTCTTGGGCCTTTTCCCATGGAGAATGGGCAACAAATTTCTATCTGGACACTTTAGATCGGTCGTGGGCCCTGTGCCTCTCCTGGTTGCCTGTTGACGGCAACATTGCTCAAAAAGTTGCCCCATGTATCATCAGCCTTAAAAGTTTAATGGGCGGAGCTACTGTATGACATCACTGCAAGTGAGTTAAAGACTGCAGTAAAAGTGAAATGAAACGGATGAACAGGAAGCTTCATCAAACAACAACATTTCTATTCAGAAACTGAAATTAACGATCAGATCTGATATTCACTCACAGGTAAGTGATGGAAATGAAAGAACTAGTTCAGTGGTTTAATAGCATGAAGCAGTATCAAAAAGTACTGAAAGTATGCCATTTATTTGTCTGTAAACCAAAGTTTGATGTGTGCTGTTAAAGGCTGCAGAAACAGGAAACAGAAAAACAGGTACTTGAACTGCAGATAGAATGAACAAAGTTCAGTGAAAATCATAACTTCATTAAACAAAAATTACACCTGATGTTTACAGGTATTTAGTGGTTTATTTGTTTGAAATATTGCACTTACACCCTTTTTTCTGTGTTGTTGTTCATAAATAAAATAATACATTTTCATAATAGTATTAAATTATTGGTGTAAAAACTTGTTATATTTGTGGCTTCTTGTGAAAGATATTTAGTTTATTTAGTTTCTTCTACCACCCAATAATATCCACTGCAGTGCCACAGAGCCATCTGAAGCAACAGACCAGCAGTCTTAGACAGGAAGTAAGGGGTGGAGCTTATAGCCGAGTGAGGTTTTAGTGGTGGAGGCAGGTTAGCTCTAATTTCCTGCCAGAAACTGCTGTGACATATTGCCTTATGGCTACAGTGGTTCAAAATTTTAGTTAGAATAATTTTTAACATGCAACATCAATTTTTGCACACACACACACACACACACAGTGCACATTCGTTTTATCAAATCTGTTCTAATCAGTAATGTAGATGATGTATTGTCATAACTTATCTTTTCAGTCATGGCATCCTCTAGTCAGTACCGTCGCAAGGGCTGTGCCAAGTATGCGACCGCACAGGGCCTCTAGAGGGCCTCGTTCCTGGCCTGCATTTTATGTTGTTTATGTCTAATTTTTATTACTGTTTTTCCACCCATTTTGTCCTTTGAAAGACTAAAATAGTCATAGCTGATAGACAGTATAAGACTCTGTGTATAAGAATGAGTAAAGCTGTTTGTTGTTAGGATGACAAAAAGTTTTTTAAAAGTTAAACATTTAGGCTGGTCTGCCTCAGTGGTCCAACAGCGCTCGTCAATGTCAAAATGATCGAGATGGCCAATCAAATCAAAGAAGGCGGGTCTTACTGTCACTGTCACAAGTTACGCAACGAGAGTTCGTGGAAAGATGTAAGTAGTACTGTATTAGAAAACTGTTTTACGATAGAAATGTTCAGCGACCGACAGTAATAGACTATCTAGTGTTGCAAACTACTCAACTTTTTATGAAATTTCGCCGTTTTGAATTGCAAATAAGCGATCATGATTCATGTAAATCATAAATCACACACACACACACACACACACACAAAATTGCTGAGGGCCTCACACGTCAACTTCGCACAGGGCCTCGCACCCCCCTTGTGACGGCCCTGCTCACACACACACACACATTGAATTATGAATTGGTTGATACACTGAGAATCGATTCAGGCCACATCTGACAGAATGACATTCATGATCATGATTCAAACACAGCAGATGAGCTTCTGTTCAGCAGAGCGCAGCGTTTGCAACACATTCACAGCATCAAGCCTCTGGGACTCTGGGAAATGAGGGCACCTGTACTCTGGGTTTGCAGGTAATTTAGGAATTTAATAAACAAGTTAAAAGAAGAAGAAGAAGAAGAAACTTCCATTCCATCCATTAAATGTAGGTTATTCTATGCAAACTGAAAATGTGCATACAATTCAAATACCGCAGAAATAGTAACTGTTCCTCATATGATTTTAGAAGATGTGGAATATAGCACACAAGTTGTATTTTGATTCCTAATATAACATAACGGCACCTAAATGCAATGCCAAAACACGTTTTTCACATGATATTTGCATAAAGTCAAGCATAACTTTTTTTGATGCTCTCAATACGTTCTCCGATCTGCTGTCAATCCCACAGTTCACTGCGCAAGCATGAAGCTAAACTCGCATAAAATAAACTGAAAATGTTCGCTCTGCTAACAGTCTTGGAGTTTTTTTTATTTACCATGCTTTCTTTTGCTCATTTTCAAATGCCTTTATATATTTTATTGTTTTCCCTTTGTTCGAGACCCAGAAAGATTTCACTTTGAAACATATGCAGTCTGTGCGGTTTCTAACAAGCTGCAATTGAGTAAACTGTGATCCCTGATAGCACACATACATCACGGAGATGTCTATTTGATGTCTGCATTTACATTGCAAGATGTATTTTTTAGAGTGTTTGCTCATCTGCAATTCGTCTATAGGACGTTTCCTGTCAGATGTCAAATAGACGTTTAGAAGATGTCTTTAAGATGTTTATGATTTAGAGTGTATGTAAAACTGACATCTTAAAGGGGTCATATGATGCAATTTCAAGTTTCACTCTTTGGAGTGTTACAAGCTGTTCGTGCATAGATGAGATCCCTAAAGTTGCAAAGACTAAAGTCTCAAACCCAAAGAGATATTCTTTATAAAATTTAAGACTCGTCCACATGTCTACGTCACGATGTGGGAAGATTTGCATAACACCGCCCAAATGTTCACGCAAAGAAAGAAGGCGTAACTTTGATTCTCGTTGTAGTATTGTTGCTGCCACCGCTGCCATGTCGTGGAGACGCTGTGTGTTTCGTTGTGAAAGCGAAACTACTTTGTTTGGCCTTCCAAAAGAGGACACAACTAGAAATCAGGGGTTAACTTGTATTTACAACACTGTTCCAAAAAAGTTCAATTAAAATATTCAGATGTGTGCAGCGCATTTTACGGAGGACTGTTTCCTGATCCTGGGAAGGCTGAGCACAAAGGCTGTTTATAAAGTGGGGCAATTCCACTGATCTATATACTGGATCGCTCATCGCGTTCTAAACTGCCAAGAGGCACACAAATTATGATGTGTATATTTTTAATGTCCTGATTGAGCAACATCTATTTCAGACTTTCCAAGATCGCGCAAATATGTTTACTAGCATTACCGTTTCCATGTAAAATGTTGTATGCTAAATTAATAATTAATTTAACCACCGTTTAAATCATTACCTGCTTCAAAATGAATGCTGTTAATGAAATCATTGTTGAAACATTTGCAGCCTACTGTATGAATAAAAACACTAACAAAATTATATAAACAATGAATAACTGTACAAGGCGAATAAAGGTTTGTGTATACAAAGCATAAATCTTTCTTCAGATTTCAAAATGAGCACTTTGTCATTTGTTATATATATTTGAGGTCGTGTTCGTCTGATGTTTATCATGTTCATGATGTTCGCTACTGTAATGAACGTAGCTTTTTAATAAGTAGGGGAAATTCCCGACATTAAAAAAATAACCGTTTATATGCCTAGGATGTTTGCATTGTAAGAATGTACAGGGATACTTCAGATTTAAAAATGCTGACTTGTTAGGTGATGTTTTCTCATTAAATTTGAACTAATTCCTATTAATTCAATGGAATGTATGGGAATACTAGGGAATACCAATATGGCGGCGCGGCGGCTTCACTTTCATGACGTCATGAGCAATCCAGTTCTCTATTATAGATCAGTGGGTGTGACCCACATGCAGAATAAAAACAAGAAATGATGTCATAGAGAGATGACCCCTGCAGAATGTCAATTAGTCTCTTAAAATATCAGATAATTTGACTTTTTTTTATGACAGCACAAAGTTAGTTCAGGTTGTATAGTGTCATGTGGTGTGACTCTCCAAAAACGTAATGATATTGATTAATTAAACATTTATGGTGATTGTGAAAAATTAAAATGATACATTTGTCATCATGTAATCAATGATACATCATGTAAGAAAAAGATACTATTATTTTTTGTGTCATGGTTACATGCCATATGACATTTTAGAGTCATTACATTTCAGCTTTTAATGGAAAAGTTTGTTAAAACCATACGAAATCAATCAAAAAATACAACTTGGCACATATGTTCATGCATTTCAACTAACCAGTCTTTATTTCTACCCATAACATCTCTCAGCAGCAGCAACAATGCAGACCTGAGTGACACCCCGTTGAGTGAGAGAGAGACCGTGTGCCTTGCGAGCAAGATGGGGTTCGGCCGGGACCTGCGCAACTCCCACGAGGGTCTGATGAAGCTGCAGGACTGGGAGCTGAAGCTGCTGGAGACGGTGAAGCGCTTCATGACCCTGCGGGTGAAGAGCGATAAGGAATATGCATCGCTCCTGCTCAACATCAGCCAGCAGGTGGACAAGCATGACAACTCCTCTCAGATCCACTATGTCAGTACTGTCTCCAAGGTAACGGCCCTCAGCTGCATTATGGGTTGACGGGTGGAGCTGATGCTTATGATTTTTAGATACTCAGAACTAGTCACTCTGAGTAACCTGCTCTGTCTGTTTTTGTCTCGCCTTTTCAATCTCTGTTTATCTCTTTGTTTGTTTCTCACACTCCCTTACCCACATTTCTTATTCTATCTCTGTGTATGTTGGTATGTGGTTTTTGTTATCAGTCGTGGACTCACATGGTACAGCAGACAGAGCAGTTGAGTAAGATCATGAAGTGTCACGCTGAGGAGCTCAACTCAGGGCCTCTCCACCGCCTCACAATGATGATCAAAGACAAGCAGCAGGTGAAGAAGAGTTACCAAAGCCTCCACCAGCAGATCGAGTCTGAGATGCACAAGGTGAGACTTTATATAGATTCAGAGAACATCAGTGGCCCTGTCTACACCTGGTATTAAGATGTGTTTTCATTAATCCGATCACAAGTGAACGACATTAAATACAGGTGTATCATTTTGAGCTTGTCCAATTTTGACCACCCCAGAGGTATTCGTACAACCACAAAAGACATTATGGGATGCGTTTTGAAAAAACGCACCGAAACCCCAAACAATCGATTACAAATTCGCTATGTCGTACACACAGATTACAATTGAAATCGCCATTATAATTTGTGTCTTTTCCATTCACTTCCTTTCCCGCTCACTCGTGAGCAGCATACTGACATCATACGTATTCGTGCGTTGCACTCTATGGTCTCGTGAAAGTGATGTAGACTGTGACGAAATCCGAACACATGTGGTCACATTTAAAACTCATGATAAGACATGGTGTAAATGGTAATTCGTCTCGGCTGACTACTTGTGATTGGATCACTGAAAATGCATCTTAATATTGCAAGATGTATTTTTTAGAGTGTTTGCTCATCTGCAATTCGTCTATAGGACGTTTCCTGTCAGATGTCAAATAGACGTTTAGAAGATGTCTTTAAGATGTTTATGATTTAGAGTGTATGTAAAACTAAGGGGTCATAGGGGTCATATGATGCAATTTCAAGTTTCACTCTTTGGAGTGTTACAAGCTGTTCGTGCATCCCTAAAGTTACACCGCCCAAATGTTCACGCAAAGAAAGAAGGCGTAACTTTGATTCTCGTTGTAGTATTGTTGCTGCCACCGCTGCCATGTCGTGGAGACGCTGTGTGTTTCGTTGTGAAAGCGAAACTACTTTGTTTGGCCTTCCAAAAGAGGACACAACTAGAAATCAGGGGTTAACTTGTATTTACAACACTGTTCCAAAAAAGTTCAATTAAAATATTCAGATGTGTGCAGCGCATTTTACGGAGGACTGTTTCCTGATCCTGGGAAGGCTGAGCACAAAGGCTGTTTATAAAGTGGGGCAATTCCACTGATCTATATACTGGATCGCTCATCGCGTTCTAAACTGCCAAGAGGCACACAAATTATGATGTGTATATTTTTAATGTCCTGATTGAGCAACATCTATTTCAGACTTTCCAAGATCGCGCAAATATGTTTACTAGCATTACCGTTTCCATGTAAAATGTTGTATGCTAAATTAATAATTAATTTAACCACCGTTTAAATCATTACCTGCTTCAAAATGAATGCTGTTAATGAAATCATTGTTGAAACATTTGCAGCCTACTGTATGAATAAAAACACTAACAAAATTATATAAACAATGAATAACTGTACAAGGCGAATAAAGGTTTGTGTATACAAAGCATAAATCTTTCTTCAGATTTCAAAATGAGCACTTTGTCATTTGTTATATATATTTGAGGTCGTGTTCGTCTGATGTTTATCATGTTCATGATGTTCGCTACTGTAATGAACGTAGCTTTTTAATAAGTAGGGGAAATTCCCGACATTAAAAAAATAACCGTTTATATGCCTAGGATGTTTGCATTGTAAGAATGTACAGGGATACTTCAGATTTAAAAATGCTGACTTGTTAGGTGATGTTTTCTCATTAAATTTGAACTAATTCCTATTAATTCAATGGAATGTATGGGAATACTAGGGAATACCAATATGGCGGCGCGGCGGCTTCACTTTCATGACGTCATGAGCAATCCAGTTCTCTATTATAGATTAGTGGGCAATTCCAACTTTGCAAGGACAGTCTGGCGCATCTGACTCACAGCCTGCAAGGATGTTTTCATATTTAAAGAATTTGCCACTGAATATTCAAACGCGAGTTTTGAGCAGTGTAGAGTAGCGCTTGTTGTTTGTCGTTTCTCCGATCACAAATGCAGACATGGTTTTATGTTTACGCGGCGCGATACGCAACGCAACTCGTAAAAAGTCATTATAATCAGTAATTATGTCCCAACTGGATGCAACAAATGCCTCATTTGTAATGTGTTTTATTGTTCGGCATCACAGTATTGTAAGGGGCGTAACACCCCTTTTTATGTTAAGGGTCGGTCACACTATGCTTTTCGTTCCACTGACTTCCATTCACACACATACGAATGCAGGAGAGCAGAAACACAAGCTCCTGTGAAGTTGTTTCGCATTTCACTGCATTCTAAAATTCAAGTCTGGTGAACTTTGGTGAATTTTTATCACATGAGACTATGTGACCAATAGAAGATCGATATGTCAAGGCATGTTCTCGTAGCCGAATTAAGAGAACATACATTTAAAACTGGAGTGCTGAAGAAAAGGATTTGGATTTTGGATTTGTTATTTGTATATATTTCACGGCCAATCACAACGCACTGGATAGCTGGCCAATCAGAGCACACCTCGCTTTTCAGAACGATGAGTTTTGTAAATCGACGTGTTTCAGAAAGGCGGGGCATAGAGGAGAAACAATAATGTACAGTATGTGAAAAATAATGTGCTTTTTTAACCTTAAACCGCATAAACACATTGCATTACACCAAATACACAAAATAATGTTCTTTTTAGCAACGTCATATGACCCCTTTAAAGACGTCTATCAGATGTTTGTACACAGCAGATGCTTTCTAGATGAAGTGATCTTTAACAGACATCTTGCAGACGTACGTGTGCTATCTGGGTTACACTTCTGCCCTTTTCTGTGTTGTCTTTCGTATATAAAAATGCCTTTTCGTGATATTATCAAATATTGTTGGAAAACTTGATTTATTTAGTTTCTTCTTCTACCACCCAATAATATGCATTGCAGTGCCACAGAGCCATCAGAAGCACCAGACCAGCAGTTTTAGACCGGAAGTTGGGGGCGGAGCTTATAGGCTCAGTGAAGTTTACATTTGTGAACTCTGTCCTAACTTCCAGTCAGAAACTGCTGTCACATATTACTCTATGGCTGCTTTGCCTTTGAAATAAACAGTGGTTCATAGTCTACGTTGTTATAAAAGTTTTCAGTTTTTAAAAAGCAACATCCATACACAAATTAAATGACTCTGATCACATCACAAGTAGTATCAAAACTGCTCTAAGCAGTAATGTAGAAGATATACTGTTATAACTTTTCTTTTCAGCCATGTCATCCTCCAGTGGTCCATTAAATGAGGAGCTCCAGTGCTACATCTGTATGCATGTGTTCACTGATCCAGTCACCACTCCATGTGGACACAACTTCTGCAAAACCTGCCTGAAGAATTGCTGGACAAACACACAGATCTCTGTCTGTCCATTCTGTAATGAAACATTCAGCAGAAGACTTGATCTTGAGATTAATACAAAACTCAGAGAGGTTGTGCAACACTTTAAGGAGAAGTTCAATCTCGGAAAATCTGAGGTGTTGTGTGACTTCTGTGATGAAAGAAAGCAGAAAGCTGTGAAGTCCTGCCTGTCGTGTCAAAGCTCTTACTGTGAGTCTCACCTGGAGCCTCATCACAGAGTCCCACGTCTAAAGAAACACACACTGATCAATGCTGTGGAAAATCTGGAGGATTATATATGCCAGAAACACAAGAGACCCCTGGAGCTGTTCTGCAGAGATGATCAGACGTGTGTGTGTCTGTCCTGCACTGAAGGAGACCACAGGACTCACAACACTGTTCCTATAGAGGAGGAGAGTCAACAGAAGAAGGCAAGAGATACAAACAAAACACTATAAAGATCCCATGAAATGCAGTTTTCTTTTCTCTGTGTTGACATGTTGAAGAACGTTTTGCCTTTTTAATGATAAGGGCCGGTCACACAACATGTTTCGTTCCATTGACTTCCATTCATACATATGCAAATGCAGGAGAGCAAACACAAGCTCCTGCGAAGTTGTTTCGCATTTCACTGCATTCCAAAATTCAGTTTTGGGGAACTTTGGTGAATTTGTATGAAAACCATGTGACCAATAGAAGTCATGGCATGACCTCGTAGCTTAAATAAAAGAACAGAAATTTAAAACCGCAGTTCTGCAGGAAAGTGGAGTAGATTGTATGTTTTTACATTTTGGATTTATTATTATTTGAGCTGGGTAGATTATTTACAAATTGCAGTCCATTACTGATTACAGATTGCATGATGAAAACTGTAGTTCCCTATCGAAAGGTAACTTGTTGCGTAGTCTTGACGACTCTGTGGAAAACTCCTGTTTTACTCTGGTACTGAAGCCTGATTTGTTCATGTTTGTGTAGCTGCACAAACCAATGGTGCTCTAGCCCACCAAAATGGGCGGGGCCGCCTGGCTATACAGGTGCATCTCAATAAATTAGACATGTACAGTAAATTAACATACTTTCCAGAAGGCCAACAATTCATTAAAAATGTTTTTTTTTATTGGTCTTATGGAGTATTCTAATTTGTTGAGATAGTGAGTTGGTGGGTTTTTGTTAAATGTGAGCCAAAATCATCACAATTAAAAGAACCAAAGACTTAAACTACTTCGGTCTGTGTGCATTGAATTTATTTAATACACAAGTTTCACAATTTGAGTTGAATTACTGAAATAAATGAACTTTTCCACGACATTCTAATTTATTGAGATGCACCTGTACAAGCCGGCTCAGAGAGCCATCTCATCAGAATCTTCTCCTTCAGCAACGTATCCATCTCTTCGCTGACTCTGCAATCAAGAAGCGAGAAGCCTTCCCCTGCGGCCATCCGGTGCTTCAAAAGAGCAAATTTCTGAGCAAAGTTCCTAGCAACATTGTTGCAAATGTGCACGCTCACTGAGACGGAATGCTCTCACATAGAGCATGAGTCTCTCTCTTCTCTGCACGCAGATTGCCTTCTTCAATGAAGGCAGCCCCGCTCTTCATTTCTCCTCTCTCAGTGAGCTTTAAGATAGAAACGGTGGAGTCACGGAGCTGAGCAACAGGGTTTGAGTGATCTCACGCCGGCACAGGTCCCGTGCGCTCACTCTCCCCACAGCACTTTAATCCACCAGTGTTTTACATGTGATTCAAATCAATTCAAAAAGTTTATTTGTATAGCGCTTTTCACGATACAAATCGTTGCAAAGCAGCATTACAGAAAATTAAGTTTCTACAATATATTT